TACGCGGCCTCCGAGCGCGCCGCCTCCGCGCTGGGGCGCGCCCCCCCTGGCGCGCCGGCGGGCGGCGCCGCGCCCGACCGGCCGGCCACGGGCAGCGCCACGCAGCGCCGCGGCGCGGTGCACTGGAATTGCGAGCGCGCGGTGGACCCGCGCACGGGCCAGGCGGTGGTGGGGCCCATGGCCCCTGGCTCCTTCTGCAGCCAGTGCGGCGCGCTGAGCACCCCGGTCTGGCGCGCGGGGCCCTTTGGCCACAAGACGCTGTGCAACGCCTGCGGCGTGCGCTGGATGAAGGTGGCCAAGAAGGAGTATGCCAAGGTGGTGGCGTGACGGCGGCCGCGCATCGGCGCCCCCGCTCAGCCCATTTTTACGCACACCTCTCCCCCTGCCCTGCTGCCTGCCTGCCGACGCTCTCTCCCAGCTGCTGCGTGCCGCCCCCCTTCCCTGCCCCTGCCTGGCCAGGCTGTACAGCATTCCCTGATGCGCGGTTGCCAGGGTTTCCTCGTCCACCACGCCGTACGGGACCAGAACACACTTTCCCCGACATCGATGTTCGGATCATCCCCGCCCCCAGGCCCGGATCGCCCACACATCGATCAATCTCGGTGGGTACCTTGCCATGCTGGCACGGCGCAGCATCGTGGCCTGGGCCGGTACGGGGTCCCGGGCCCTCACCCTCGCCACCACCCAGGTGCCTGCCGAGCAGATCGCCGCGCTGAAGAGGCAGCTGAGCCTGGGCCTGGAGTCGTGCTCATACGTCGTGGAGTCGTCGGTGAGGGAGGGGTAACAGAGTATCAGCATGGCGGTGGCATACGCGAGACGTGGCGACGTGCGATTGCCCATGCCGAAATGACGCTCGCAGGAACAGCTCATGCTGGAGACGGATCCCTCGGCACGAAATCCCAGAGCCTACTACGTGTCGTGGTACCAGCGATTGGCACTGGATCAGCTCGTCAGGGGTCTGGATCTGCACCGCTCCCTCCAGCACCAGTACGGCGAGGGCATGGTGGAAGGGATCTTGAGAGAAAAGGGCCTGAGAGTGCTCCTGGCAGACTGCCTCCTGGCCCGGGATAGACTGAACCTGAAGCTGTCACAACCTGACAGGCTTGATCTGTAGGATCAGCGGCGAGTGGCAATGCTTTAGGTTTACATAAGATTGACTGATTTGTGACATGACTGAGTATCCTGCAACTGAACATCTGGGGGAAAACTGTGTTCCCACTGTACCTGTGATTGTACCGAGCCAGAGATGTTGAGCGCTCTGCACAACCAGCGCCCACCTCGGGCGGCTTCAGTACAGCCAGGGGAACAGGGCCTTGCGCCTGCTGGGGTAGCTGGGGAAGCGTCGCCTGTACCACGCCTGCGTCATCCCAGCTGCGAGGACCAGGTTCGCTGCCTGAGTGGGATGGGGACGGGGAGGATCGGAGGCCACACAGTCTTGATCGCATGTGTGCGTCTCCACTGCACCCCGGCATGCGGCTCATACCCATGCATGCACCTTCTTCCCCCTCCATGACTCACCACCCAGGCCAGAATGAGCCAGGCCAGGGGGCGTTGCGCCCCGATGAGCAGCCCCAGGCCGGAATAGATGACGATCTCTGCCAGGTAGTGCGGGCAGGACACCAGCTTAAAGAGGCCACCTGGGTGATAGGGGGTGGCACACGGTGTGGGACGCACTTGGAGGGCAGGGAGGCGCCGGAGTAATTGCTGGTGGGCCACAGTCCGGTGCACCGTGAGCAGAATCCAGAGATTGTCAAGTAGCAGCATCTTGTCCACCTGTCTACTACCCTCCCAGCACCCCCCAACTCAAAACCTTGCGTCAGTCCCTCCCACCTCGTGGGATGCGATATGTTCCGCTTTGGGTGCCCCGAGAAAGGTTTGCCAGCAGCCGGTGCGAATGGAGCTGCAACAAGTTCCCCGCGACAAAGGCGAGCACACCCTGGATTAGGGGTGGGACACGGGCATAAGGCTGCAGCAGTAAGTATTTCATGCATGCAACCAGCGATGGATGCAAGGCAGCTTCCCTGCAGCCTCCAGGCATGCTCAACATGAATGCGGTCCCTCCACCTGCCCGCCTCACCAGCCACTGCAGAGCACTGAGCCTCGCAAGCGTCGCCTCAAGTGCAGACGGGAGGGCGCCCATCATTGCTCCCCTTCCTAGGAGGCTCTCCAAGCCCCCGTCTGCCAACCTTTGGAGGAGCGCTAGGGGCACAAGGGTAGCTGGGACGACCAGGTAGTAGCTGCGGGGTGGAATGAAGGGGGTCGTCGGAGTGGTCAGTGCATTGCGGCTGTCAGAGGGCCCGATTCTGTATTGAGGAATAACCCACGCACTGCCTGCGGACCCCTCACGCATCAGACTACCGAGCGCTGAACCCTCATCCAGCCTCACCTGATCCCATATAGGTATGCTATGCCGTGCATGCGGGCATTGGGAGGATACTGCATGATGAGCACCGTCTCAAGGTATCTCCGCACAAGGTGGACTTCCAGCAGGCACAATGCCAGCAGGGACACCTGTGTTTGAGATGGGGAAAAGGGGGGCATGGCGTGGCAATTATCCGGATTGAACAGTTAGCTCACGATGTTTAGAGAAGTAACTACATCCTCATGGCCAAGGCCCCGCAAGCTCTGCCATCACACCCAACGCAACCTTCAGCTAGGTCACACCATGGCACCAGAATGTTCATACCAGCCTTAGCCACGCTCCACGGTACCTGGGCCTCCCATGCTGCCTGCGATGTGCCAGTCCATAGTTGTTGCATCACAGCCCAGATCACAGGCACAGACCACACTGAGCCCAGCGCATAAAAATGTGAAAACCACTTTTGTGGCACAGTCCAGTCCTGCGCATGACAAGAAAGACGGCGGACTTGAGGGACCGGGAGCGGGCACTGATCGAACATTGCTCTGCCCACCCCCGTCCTGCCGCTCCCCTCACCGACAGTGGACCAAAGGCCTTGTGGGGCTTCATGTCTACAAGCTTCCCACGGCACGCCGACAAGATTACTGCAGCCCTGTGGAAAGGGAGGAGGTGCTACGAATTGTGAGCACGATGGGATAGCTCTGCGGGCCTCTTTACGTCATGCAATTGGACGGACAGCCTCGACATTCGTGTTGCCTCCAGGGATGCATGATGGTCGGTGTATCGCTGGCTCACCTGAAGCCAGCGAGGCCGGGTAGGGGCAGCAGCGCCAGTACTGCAGCCATGGTGCACAGCACCCAGTACAAGCGCAGCAATGAGGGCAAAATCGAGAATGCGAGCAAGAAGACATCGTCGGCGATCGGCATCGCGCGGAATGTGTATTGGGTCGTGCCAGATCACTTGGTGCCCAGTGCCAAATACAGGCGACTTGGGGGTGATAAATACTGCTTGCGGCCAGATTCATTACTGGCCTATTACACCCGATTGATAGTGCCAATCTCGAGTCTGGCCTTTCGGTTTCCAAATGTGCGGGGGGAGGCGCAAAGTCGGTGCACGCACAGCGCGCCATGAGCGTCAAGGAGCCAAGAGAATGTGTATCTGAGTCCGACAGTGCCCATCATCAAATCCAAAATCATGCCATAGATACCTGCGTGTGAGTTTTTGCGTTGTAGACAGCTTGCGTGGGCCGGTCGATAGAGCACTTCCCTCGGCTGGGCGGCCCCCTGCGGCATCCTCACAAGGAGCCCAGCAGGCATCCATGCTGAAGGAGTCGTTGGAATCCCTGCCCTTGTTGGGCCAAGAGGGCGACGTCAGCTTTCGGGGGGGCAGCGTGCTGGGCCACAATGATGGATCGCCCCGATCCCGCAAGGGCGTGGTGAGTTTCGCGGACACAGGCTCCTTCCACGGCGGGCGAGCTGGGCTCCGCGTGACCGCCCGCCAGGCCAATGCCGCAAACCGTGCGCGGTGAGGTCTGAGGATTTTCGGCCCGCGCATGGCACGGCGCCCGGGAGACGCCATGCCGGATTAAGGCACCGGGCAACCATGGGGAATCCGGGGCCGGGACTGCCTGAGGAGGGCAGCACTTGCCGCCTGGAAGCTTCCCGCTTCAGATCTTAAGAACTGTGCTTGGAACCGTGACTCATGCCCTCCCCCCCCCCCCCCCACGCTGCCTCT